GAGTATGGATTTAGCCCTGGTGGATAGAGAGAGATTACTTGGGAAGTCTTTACTAAGGATGTGATCTTAATACTTTCCAAAGTGTAAGGACGATAAAGCCTCAGGTCTTGATGATTTTCTCATGGTGTTTCTTCCAAAGCATTAAGAGATGTTAAGGAGTGCCTTTGTGCTTATTCTTAGAATTTGTTGAGAATGAGACCTTTGTCTTTTCCCCAAATTCAATTTTTTTTTTTCCTTCTTCTCATTTTGAAGATTGAGGCTGCCTCCAGAATCAAGGATTTCAGGTCTATTGACCGTGGAGGTACTCGCTTGAAAGCTTAGTTGAGTGATGAAGTTTGTGGTGTTGAAGTTTCAGCATGTGGTTGTGGAGGGTAGGCAAAATCTTATAGTGGCATTGATTTCTAATGAGGTTATTGACTCCATGGTCAAGAAGGGTTTGATTGATCTTATTTGCGAACTTCGTACGGAGAAGACTTATGATCATGTATCCTGGCAGTCTCTAGTCTACATGTCGAGAAGATTAGGATAGGAAAGAGGTGGTCTGTTTTCTATTTTTCTGGTGTTGAGAGGATTGAGACAAGAGGACCCTATTTTATTTTCTCTTGTTATTGTTATAGAGGCCCAACAAAAGTTTATTTGGGGTTTAACAATTGGTGTTGAGGAGGATGCAGTGGAAGTGACATTTATTTTTTTATTGATGGCACCCTATTGTTTTGCAAGCCTGGCTCTGAAATCCTCCTTAATATAAGATGTATTCTTCTTTGTTACCATGCAGTTTTGAGCTTGAACCTCAATATTGTGGAAGTCAAAGGTAGCCCCTTTGGGAGAAGGGTGGAGTTGGAGTCTTATGCAAGGATAATGAGCTGCAAGATCTTCCTGTTTTGCTGAAGTACTTGGACCTACACTCTGAGGCCAACTTCAAGGACAGGGCCATTTGGGATTCTGTCATCTTTTAGATTTAAGAGAAGTATTTTGATTAGAAGAAAGTATCTCTTTTAAATGAAGGGAAGCTTATCCTAATCAAACGAACATTTAAATATAGAGTTTTATGCTGTTTTCCTCGTTCTCCATCTTGATCAATATGGCGAAAAGGTTTGAGTTTCTTTTGTCAGTTTTTATGCGGGAACTTAAAGGAATAGGATATACCATTTGGTGCTTGAGACAGGGTCGAAGCAAGCTTTTAGCATGGGTAGTCTTGGTATTTGGTCTCTTATTTATTTCAACAAAGCAACTTTTCTAGCAAATTATCTGCACATCACCAAACAGAGGAACAAATATGAACAAAC